CACGGGCCTGCGGACGGCGAGCATGGGTGGCTCGCCGCCCGACTAGAACCAGACCCGGGCGTTCTGCGCGGGACACAAAAAGCCATCAGACTTGATGCCGATACGGAGCCGCGGAGAACTTAACGGGATACCGGGGCTCCAGCTCGACGTGCAGGAGTAGGAACGGGGTGGTTTTTAGTCAGTAAGAGTCAGACACTCCCTCCGGCCTTACCCAGGCGGGAGCAGTCATTGGATGATTTTCACCCCTTAAAAAAATATTATACGCTTTGTAACGACGCCATGTCATTCGTAACTCAGTCGACTCTAGACAACCAATGGTTACAGTCTCTGTACTGAATCTATCTTTATTTTACTTGCATATTAAATAACTGTGCGGACTATATTATGTTTATAACTGTGTATGTTTGTCTGTCAGCTCACAATAAATTGGATATAAGCTGATCAATTATTTTTACATTGATAGATAACTAGATTTGCAACGAATACATTTGACCAATACCGAATATTCGCCGAGTTTCTATGTCAAATAGCCGAATATTCAAAAAAAGTATTCGGCTGGAGTGGTGTGATGGTTTAACCCATTGTATACCGTGTCGGACAACGATGGTTGATACTAGTCGAGGAATAGTCTTCACCAGTTTTGGAGTACCAGTACCTCACATAATTGAACCAACAAGACTATTTAACTGAATATTTTATTGTGAACCTGGTTGAAAAAGAGTAACCTATAGAGTTTCTTGCTCGTTCTTCTCCACAGGAATCTATACCTTGGAACCTTCCTGGTCTAATTGAAATAAATGATTTTGACTTTTTGTTGGTACAGTCAGCATCAAAAGTCGATGACCACATTCAAATTTTCAAAATCACTGTACATTATATCACCCATAAATCGCTTAACAAGAGAGGGCGCTAGTATTGAATGAACATCTTTAAAGTTCAAAATTAACTGAACACTACTCGTCAAAGGTCACTGAACACCATTTTGTCAAAAATTGCTGATTGTTATAATATCAAAAGTCACTGAACGATATAAAATGCTTGTTTTGGTTATCCAGTGCAATCACAGCAACGTCCAAAAATAACTTAACATCATTAATAACAAAAGTTACTGAACATTACTTTGTTTCGGATTTGTAGCGTGTAAATTTATACTATTAAAAGTAGCTGAACTGCAAACTAAAAAACGTTGACGATGTTGCTGTATTACGATTGAATAGTAACCATATTTGACTATCAATAATCACGCAGATTCTGTTTGAATTTATACCATCGTGTAATTATTTATTTTTTTAGTTCGATTGAATTGTAACCTTATTCGTAAAGCAATAAGACTCATTTTCAAAAATCACGCAGATTCTGTTCAAATTCATACCGTGTTCTTAGTTTATGATTCCTATAGTTACGATTTAATTAGAACCTAATCTGTATACATATAAGACTCATTTTCAAAATTACCACCAATTCCGTTTCAATTCAATACGGTAGTTGACAACTAGTCAAATTCAATACTTTTATCGAAACGTCAAAAACGATACTTCTATGAATTTTGTACGAAATACCATCTTATGACGTCATCATATTTTCGCGTCAAACAGCACACTTATATCTAAAGAAAATGCGAGAATAAATCGAAAATTAAGTATATCGGCAAATCAATGAATGAAAGTGTAACTATTTTTAATATTTAATTGAACTGAAAAATCTAAATAATTTATTTTTGACCCAGGAAACTACCCAATTCTTTGGGAAACAGTTGTGGGTATTTGAAAAATTGTTTACACTTGAATGTAAAAATAATATTTCTACTTAATTTTCACTTTGTATCGGATGTAGACCATTTTAAGCCACCATTTTGATACCATGGCCTCACAGAAAACCGACGTGAAAAAACGTTGTGTTGTGTTTCGTCGTGTGAGTGAGTTTACCATTACCCAGCCCCCCCCCCTTCCCCAATCCCTGAATCCTCAACAATCCTCAATTTCCTAATCCAGAAGGCCAGTAACACTCTTATAACGCCTCTGGTGTTGCGTGTGTCCATGGGCGACGCCGATTGCTTACCATCAGGTGATCCGTCTGCTCGTTTACCAGCTTATCCAATAATAAAAAATTGTGGTTGTAATTATTTTTAATCTATAAATATTGTATTAGTTATCAATTGCGCTTTGGTAACAAATAAACATTATAATACGATTTAATCTTCAAATTACTGCACATGAACGTCACAGAATAGTGATATTGCGAGACTAAATCACGCCATAAAAATCTGGGAAAATTTTAGGGGACGAGATACTTGTGCAAATATGGTAAACTCCATGCGAGAATGTCTCCAAAATGTCATCGATGCCAATGGGGGACACTAGGTTTTAATTTCAAGTAGTTCAAGTATAATCATGATTGTAGTTAATTGTTAATAAATCATACCTTGTTTTTTTTTTTTATAAAACATTGATTTGATTATGATAGTTTAAATTATTTTATTATGATTGTGTTGATTAAAACAAATAATAATTATCTGAATTGATTTATCGAACCATTTTATTTAATTTTGTTGATAATAAATAAAAGGGTGGTGATTAACATGTGCATGTGTCTACCTTATTTGTATACCAAACACACACCTGCCGAAAAAAATACATACACATATTAAACACAAAATGTCATTTCAATTTGTTCAGGGACTTTAGAGATAAACGATAGTATGCTATTTTTGTCTAAAATTTGTTCAGAAACTTTAGAGACGAAGAATGTTTTGCTTCTTTTACTATAACTTTGTTTAGCGACTTTTGAAAAGTATGGTCACCTACTTATGCCCTTTTATGATAATCATTCATTTCTGGCGCTTGTCATGTTGAGCGATTTAGGTATAATACCGTGTACAGCGATTATGAAAATTTAAATGTAGTCATCAACTTTTGATGCTGACTGTACCTAGTCGAAGAATAAACTTATCAATATGGGTATTTCGGCCGAATATAAAAAGTGTCAACTAGGCCGAATGCCGAATAGTGGCCGAATATTCGTTGCAAGTCTATTAATAATATTATTTTGTACAAATTGGTAACTATTTTGTTATCAAAATTTAATTAAAATAATTTGAAAAATAGGAAGTACATTTTTTGGCAAATAATTATTTAATGCTGAGATTTTTTTAGTAATAAGAATATTTGTCGCCGTTTAATCAACGAAGGGGTAAACAGAGGTGTACATACACAATGTAACACCCACTTTTCACTATTTATGTTATGAGTCCCATGTAATAGGGGGTGAGCCTATTGACATATTACAAACTCCGTACTAAGAAATTTTCATTTTAAAATCGTGAAATTAACAGCTTGACAGACAGTGAGTTTTTTAAAATACCTTTAAAAAAGGTTTTTTATGGCATAAGCCGGTAAACAAGCAGACAGATCACCTGATGGTAAGCAATCGGCGTCGCCCATGGACACCTGGAACACCAGAGGCATTACAAGTGCGTTACCGGCCTTTTGGAGAATTGGGAATTTGAGGATTGTTAGGGGTTTGAGGACTGGGGAGGTTGGGGAGAGGGGGGGGAGGCACAATTTTAACATATTAATATTTTTCTAAGGCAATTTTGATATAATTTTTATAAGACATATACAAGATTTTGTATTTTTTTTATATATAATTAAAATAGAAAGCGGTTTAAAGCCGTGTTAGCTTCTAAAGGCTAGATAGTAAGTTCGAAATTGGTATTTTTGTGAAATGCCTAGAATTTAAATATTTAAAAATTTTTTTTTTGAGATTGTCCTGTACTACGGCTGTTTATATTGATGTTTAAGGGGTAGGTAGATATGTTTAACATATCTATGTTTTAGTTTATCATTAATGCTATTTACATATTATATTTAGATTAAATGATGTTAATATTTGGATATTTTTATAATAACTAAGTTGGAAGTTCTAGAATCCCTTGTTTTTTAGACATAAAACATTTGGAAAATACGGTTAAAATGTTAAAAAGATAATTATGTGAGTCATCAACTCAAAAAGGGGTAGACAGAGGTGCACATATACAATGTAACACCCACTTTTCACCACTTACATTATGAGTCCCATGTAATGGAATAACATTGATCACTGATTTGCATAAACGCAAGATACTTTTTCACATTTTAACAGCACATTTCCTTCAAAAACGACATATATTACAAAAAAAACGACAAAAATCTTAAAAAACAAGATTATAGGTACATACCATGTAAAAACGAAATACCGCACATAACAAAACAAACTTAAAATTAAACTAAACTACATACAATAATAATACAATACCATCACTACAAAAAAAAAGTAAAAAAAAAATAATAATACCTCAATTTTTTCTTCTAGTCATTTCACAAAACGTCCCGTTTTCCATATAATCACTGCGACACGTATATTTACACCATATCAGTCTTTAATAATAGTTTTACTGCAACATTCACTTTTTGTCCATAGAAAAGTTATTCCATTTATGGAAGTTCTAATAAGTTGCCGGTAGATGGCGTTGTACTCAAATTTTTTGTAATCTGTTTGGAGTTTCAACTTTATGTACTTAGACTGTAGGTAGGAAATGATTTGACAAGTTAGAGGGTAAAATTGTTTTAATATTTTAATTGCGTTTTCTGAAATGCTGGTTTTTCTTTCCTTGTCATCAAGCGTTTAACTTTTAGCAGTTTTTGAAGTAGATCATAATGCAAAGGTCGAATGTAATAAACGATTCCAAATCTTCTTTCTCAATTCCAACACAAGTATTGTATAATAACTTACTGGGACTGCCTCAATGATAGACAGATATTGTAATTCTTAAGATGTAATAAAGAATTTGAATTTGAATCTGAAACGACCATAAAACAAATATCATTTTTAATCGATTTCCTGAATCGTTTATCTGCGATTATTTCGTTATTGGCTGAATCGATTTTGATCGGTTTTCAGACAACTGTTTGTTTTTTGTTAAAGTAGATTTTTAAACTTATATTAATTTTTGAAGTTACCTCACCAAGTTTAGCAGGACTAGAAGTTCAAAGTTTTACTTTAGCATAATGTAACACCCACTTTAAACTGCCCATATTATGAAACAAACCTGACACCAGTCACCAAGCAAAATTTCAATTAAAAAAAACACTAATTTACATCAAAACTTGATAACAACGCCATCTACCGCCGCCTTAATTGAAACTTTGAGCTGATCTAGCCGTGGGACGTATGCCCACTGTTGGAGTAAGATCATCCGTTGATGCTGGGCTCCTGTCTCCGCTTGGGGATGAAGGAGACGGTCATCAGATCATCATCCTCTTGGAGTAAGCAACCTTCAGCTGGTTTGCTGCGGTGGAAGAGCCTGCGAAGAAAGTTTGTGAAGTTAGATTTTCGTTTAGTGTTTTATTTAATGAGGAGGTAGGCAGGGGCGTTCAATACTCTAATAAACAGTTACTTCATGTATCGGAAACTATGACATTTTCCCCACAAGGAATCGGGTCCAGAAAGCCAACTAGTCAAATTCAATATTTATTACGAACTGACGAGATTGTGTATTGTGACGTCACGTTTTTTAGCGTCAAACAGAGTACTTATATCAAATTTGTTGGAAAAATACTAAAATTAAATTGGCCATAAATCTATCAATGAAAGTGTGATTATTTTAAATATTTTATCGTATTGAACAGTCGAAATACATTATTTTTGATTAAGGAAAGTACTCATTAACATATGATAGTCATGAAAAGGGGTTTTAACGACATTCAAGGTCGTTATTGGTCTGTATAATTTCCAACGCATGTTTGCCCATCATCTTTTGATAGATTGAAGTAACTTAAACTGCTGGCTACAGTACTACATTAAAATATAATATTACATACGTTCCTAAGTAAGATATCACTTAAAAGAAATTACCAAAGCGACCAAATTTTGTTTAGACCTTATTTTATATGTAAAATATAACTTAATTACATAGTATATACTATATATATATCACAGCCTATAAATGCCCACTGCTGAGCAAATCCTCTTCTCACACGGAGAAGGTTTGAGCATTAATCACCGCGCTTGCTCAATGCGTGTTAGCGATTTCAAACTTATAATGAGAAATTATAAGCCCAGGTTTCCTCACGATGTTTTCCTTCACCGTTTGTCAGTAGTGTCTAGATAATCTTAGAAAGTACATATAACTCGGAAAAAGTCACATTGGTACTTGCCGTTGGTAGGTTTCGAACCCCTCATGCATGAGAAACGGGCGTCTTAAACCCCCTGGCCACCACATACATACATCACACAAAAAAAACAAACTTGTTTGCCAAACATTAACAAATAAAGAAAAACACAAGCATAAAAAACATTAACACATTTTTTGCAATCAAACAGATGTCGCCACCACCGAAAATCGAACATAACCAAGACAATTATTATTGACATAATATAGGAGATACCCATAACCATATACCGGTCATAATTCCAAACTTCGTGCAGATTTATTAGACTCAGGAATTGAACCCCAGATTCGTTTCTCGAGAATTACACTAGAAACTCACACAAGATCAATCTAATATTTTTGTTACTAGTAGAGCTTTTCTCAGTATATTCACGTGAGTACCCCGCGGTTTGAGTTAAAGTTGTTTTTTAAATTAATTGGACCATGGAACTCTTAGAAGGTGCTATGGTCCAACTATTATTAAAGTTGGACAACTGCTTCTTGTAAAAACCCGTGGTCTACGTAGTTGGACAGAATAGTTGGACCACTGCCCCGCAATCATTTATATAATATGTTCTAGAAAAAAATGATAATTAAGGATAGCGTCCGATCAAATTGACTTATATGATATTGGCACGCATTTTATCCTGGAAGTGGTAGACAGAGATGCTTATAATGGCTTATATTGCCAGATATACCCTGTAACACCCACTTTTCACTATTTATGTTATGAGACCCATGTAATAAGGGGTGACCCTATTGCCATATACCTGGCACAATTCCAGATTCCGTGCTACCACTGAGATTTTTTTTTAAAACCCAGTAATACTTAGCCAGACTCGGGAATCGTACCCGAGACCACTTGCCCGGCAGTCGCACTAGCGACCACTCGGTGGGCGAGTCTATTGATATCAAATCAAACAATGAAAGTGGAAATATTTTTGAACATTTTATTATATTCAAAGATCGATATAATATACAAGGTGTAGTTTTGAAACCGTGACATTTCTCGGGGGCATGTCACAGAAGGCATAAAGGTTCAATGTAAGAGAAAGTTTCGGGCCAATAGTTAAAAATACGGCTATAATAAATCGTTTAAGTTCGACAGTATTTCAGAATAAGCGACAGAAATGTATCTTATTGGAGTTTTATGGAATTAGGAATAATATCAATTACGTGTTTGAGTTTGTGTGTGTTAAGCCGCGTTATAAAGCTAGTTACAAGACGGCGGCGTGTACTTCGCACTTACGGATTTCCGTAATTTACAGAAAAATGAAAAATATTTACCTAGAATTTTTTTTATTGATTCGGACTGAGAATCGATAGCCGAGTTACCTCCTAGAAAATGACGCGGCTTTAAAACAACACCTTGTATAGACGGACCATATTCATAAGACAAACACAGACACACGTACAACACAACAAACATATATATATGTATAAGACTACATACTTATACTTCAACTTTCAACAAAACTGACTTCCACGAGTCGCGGTTCTTGCTGTAGAGAAAGAGATAGAGTTAGAGAGAGATAGAGAATGATAGATGCTAATGCGTAACTTAATAAATGGTAGATTTTTATAATTTCTGAACTGTACTGTATAGCAAAAAAAATTGAATGATTTTTTAATATGAAAAGAGGATTGTTAATTTTAAACTATAATTAATATTGTTAAATACAATATAGATAATAGATAGGTATATTAAGTAAATCATAAAGAAACTCAATATTTTTATTACTCAATATTTATAAAATATTTTTAATTCCAAAAAGGTCAGAAATAGAGTTTTAGATTAATTTTTATTTTAATGTTCGTCTGGTAGATTGACTTGAAATATCGCGTGACGTCATTTTTGTGTACGTTTAATATTCAAAATGACGTAGCCAGTTACTTAGATAAAACAAATAAAATTTTGCAGCGGGAGCTAAAACGTCATTTCTACGTATGAAATGTACATAGAAGTGACGTCACGCGACATTTCAAATCAATATATCGTCGAAAGTATTCGTTTCTATAAGAAAATAAAAAATACGTGTCTAATGATTTAAAATAATCTACCAGACGGACATTAAAATAAAAATTAGGCATCTACCCTATTACTAAGTTACCGACAACAGAAGTTTTAGGTTAGGTTAGACAAAGCATAGTTATCAGTAGAACGTAATTCATGCTGGTAGAAACGTAAGCAATTAACAGTCACGTTTATTTTTTTTTATACCACGACGGTGGCAAAAATGCACACGGCTCACCTGATGGTAAGCGGTTACCGTGACCTATGTACGGCTGCAACACTTGGGGCAGTACATGCGTCTTGCCGACCCTTAAGAAACCTATTCACTGCCCTCTTGAAGAACCCCATGTTGTAGCCCACTGGGAAAACCACGGCAGGGAGCTCATTCCACAATCGGAGGGTCCGTGGGAGAAAATTCCTCTGAAACCGACCTATACGGGACCATTTTGGCTCCAATGAGTGAGCGTGAGCCCCCTGTCGATGGCGAGCGGTGCGATGATAAATATTGTTCGAAGACTTCAGTATCCCATTCGGTCATTTCGTCATTTTTATTTTGGACAAAAGTAGTCGGAAAGTTAGTATTTTAGGCAGTAGATTTAATATTTTGAGTAATGATAATTCTTCTTTATCGTCAGAGCTTTTATTATTATATGACTGCACGGTTGGCGCGGCGGCTGGGCAACCGGCTGCCGCGCAACGTGTCGCGGGTTCGATTCCCGCACGGAACAACTCTTTGTATGATCCACAGGTTGTTGTTCCGGGTCTGGGTGTCATGTGTATGTGAACTTGTATGTTTGTACACGTACACACGACACATGAGTAAATCCTAAGGTGGGGCAACGGTTTTTTAAAACCCTAAGAAATAACCTGAAACCTACCACTCATTTTGAAACTTAAAACATTACTTAGGTGTCAAAAATATCTTTTGCTAATAATGCAACTATCTAATTGATCATCAGATGTTTCTTTTACATTTTTTTTGACATTTATTAAGTTACACATTAAATACACAATGAAGGCAAGAAATAAGAAGTACAAAGCTGAAAAAGAAAAGTAAAATAGATACTATTATACTACTAATATAACAGGCTATAACATAACATAAAATCACGCCTTTTATCCTCGAAGGGGTAGGCAGAGGTGCACATTATGCCGCTGTACAATGTAACACCCACTTTTCACTATTTATGTTATGAGTCCCATATAATAGAGAGTCTATTGCCATATACCGGACACAATTCCAGACTCAGTGCTACTACTGAGATTTAAAAAAAAAACCAGTAATACTTTGCCCGTTCCGGGAATCGAACCCGAGACCCCATGCCCGGCAGTCGCACTTGCGACCACTCGGCCAATGAGGCATAACATATTTTAGTTAATTTATTGTTACTATATGAAACAAAATTTGTAGCAAGTTATAAGAATATGAAAAACAGCTATATCAAGACAAGTGATGTCCATCATATGAAATTCTAATAATCTGGCCTGACGCTAGACTCAAAATTCGGGACAAGCATGGTCGTCCTTATTGCAACTTCTTAAACAAGGATATTATACAATAACAAGAATATGGACATGGTCTGCAATAAATGATTATTATTATTATTATGTATGTCTTTACCATTCACGGGACCACAGGGTCCCGGTCATTTGGGAGGCGTACGAGGGGCCGAAGCCAACTGCGCAGAGGCCCTTTAGACAACTATAATATAAATGTAATGGACACACAAACCGGCGACTATCCCTGTATGCACTATGGAAATGCACCCAAGGACAGTCCCCGGTTAGTGTAGGACTATTGTGAATAATGGAAAAAAAAGGTAGGGCTATGGATGGGTTGTTGTGGACTGGTAAATTGGGAACTATGGATGACTATGACACCTGCCGAAACAATGTAGTTTTTACACGTAAAAATGGCAGGCGGAGACTCGCCAACTCACCGACCGGGCCCCGGGAATGGTTGCTAGATATAGCAACAGAGGGGCAACGAGAATGTGAGTGGCTGAAGGGTTAAGAAACTACCACCGCTTTCTACTCAGATCATCTGCTCCAGCCGAAGCCTCCTGCATCCCTGGCCCACTCGCGACTTACGAATAGTTTCTTACCCTCCGAGCAGGTTCACTGCTCTCGCGACTCCACTCTGGACGGCCAATGAAGGCAAGCCAGAGGTGGGAGACCTGTTCCTTGTCATCTTTCACTCCAGCCAGCCAATTAAGGCAAGCCGGAGAAGAAGGAACGGTGACTTCTCCCTGGAGCACTCGTATTATACATAAAAAATATCATTTATAAAAAAGAATCGAAACCAAAACAAATGCTACAAATTTTGACTAAAGGAGGCCATACACGCTAGATTATACATGATGGTTATAACCAATGATATTATAAATAATAAAAAGAGGTAGATATCGCACTGGCACGCAAAAATTGTTGCGAACGAATTCAGACAATTGTCGTAATTTTATAATAGCTATCTCTTTCTGTACCATACTTTCCGTATTATCTGTCGCACGTAGTTGAAAATGACATTTAAGTACATTTGTAATAAGAACGCAACAATTTTTGGACGCCGCTTAGTATGAACGTAGCGTATCTTCTTTATAATATCATTGGTTATAACTGTACATGCAAAACCGACAAACATAACTGATGGACAGATGCACCGATAGCTGTACAGTTTAATCACATACACGCTATGGCTTGCCTGTTGCATGCACAGCTAAAACCATCATGCAAAAACTATCGTGTATGGCCTCCTTAACCCCTCGAGCGTCCTTATGAGCACCCGGTGGATCATAAGAAAAAATGCTCCATGCTGCTTTCTCTTTTATAAAATCTATTATTAATGTTTTGTTTTTATTTTGACTCTATTTGTTTTATTTCTATTGTAATGATCCTTGTTTTCGTGTGCTAATGGCCAAATAAATGCATTTTCTTTCTTTCTCCAAATGTCACGTGTGCACCCGTTGGATCATAAGGAAGGCGGACGCTCGACGGGTTAAGCAAATAATAAGTACTACTAAACTACCAAATTCTCAATTTCATTAGCAACTACAATTAAATAGCACAACGATACACTACAAACTACCTTTAACTACAAAATTAAGGGCTCTCTTCAAGCGCGAAATCGTTCGAGTTAGCCCGAAATGTGACGAGATCGAACATGGTAACGAAACGAGCGATGTGGTAGCAAGTTACATGGATGAAAGCGAGCACATTACTTACAAATGATTAATGAAATGCATGGAAATATAAAAATTACGTTTTAAATTCAATTTTTAAAAACGAACTATACCTCTAGTATGAAAAGATAATTTGTTATGTCCAAAAGATTGTATTAACTTGCCAACGGCTTCGTCCGCATTCCGTGTAATAAAAAATTGCTAATGTGTTATTCCAAACCATAATCTACCCCTGTTTAAAATTTCATCCCGATGCATCTAGTCGTTTTGGATGTGAAGAACGAAAAATAACAAACACACAAACAGACATACACACTTTCGCATGTATAATATTGAATGTTTTTTTTTCTTTTTATAATTATTTAAAATGTATAACGCCTTGGTTTTATGATGTTATACTATTTAATTGAAATAAATAAATAAATATTAGTGAGATTACGGTGAGATAAATAGATAGTATAGGGTAAACTGAAGGCTCCCGAACAACGCCGACAGGTGGCGGTAAAAACAAGTTTTATTTTGAAAGAAGGTAATTAAATGTTTCTTTAATGTCATAATAATTATAATCAACTGCTCGAGGCTGACGTTGTATGAATGAAACGATAAAAAAAACTATTAAAAATGTATCAACAATTTCTTTTGATCAGGCAAAGTATTACTGGGTTTTTTATAAAACCCAGTAATACTTTGACCAACCCGGGAATCTTTTGGACATTCTACTTTACTATCCAATTCAACTACCATTTCTATCTATCTAAGAACACGACTTCAATGCAAAGACTAAATTAATAATAGGTACTACTTACTTAGCCAATGGCGACGCCCCCCTCTCGCTGGGGTCTATCCGTTCGTCCAGTCCCCTATGTACTGACACTGCGTCCAACTCCTCCAGGTGAATGGATTGAAGATATTCCGTAGTTCGCAGCTGTTCTAGTGTTGGTTTCTTGAAACTGTTGAGTACAAAATTATTTTTAGGGGATTTTTTTTAAGGGGGAAAATTATCGAATGACTGCTCCCGCCTGGGTGAGGCGAGAGGTAGTGTCAGACTCTTACTGACTAAAACCACCCCGTTCCTTCTCCTGCACGTCGAGCCGGGGCCCCGGTTACCCGTTAGGTTCCCCGCGAGGAATGTGCTGTAATAATAATGCTGTAGGGGCTCCGAAGCAAGGACCCGGTGCCCTTTACAGGTGCTGAGGGCGGCCAACGGGGCGGTTTTAGTGAAGTACGAACCCCCCACCCCCAAGTCTCTCTCCCCTAAAAGCTATAAAGCTAAGCTAGGCGCCTTTTGAAGGTATCCCCTTTAGGGGCACACTAGTATGCAATCGTTTATGTAATACGTATACGATTGCAACTGTGTCCAGTCGACAAAAATGCTAGAACAAATAAAAAATTAAGTATATCCATAAATATGTATATGAATGAAATTGTAATTATTTTTTAATATATAAATGGATTGAAAAATCAAAATAATTTGTTTTTGACCCAGGAAAATGTATAGTTTATTTTTTTGTTTTTTGTTCATTTTGTTTCTGAATTGTATTAATTTTTATTTCTTGTATTTGATTACCTAATAAGTTTGTTTTTAAGTACCTAAATAATATCATTTATATAAGATTTACAGTATAACTTAATGGCGTAAGCTGTGGTGTTGTATATGTACATTTTCTAAAATAAATAAATAAATAGCTAAAAAAGTTTTATAAAGTGTTTGTTACACTTAGGAGAAGGTTTTCGTATGTATATTAATTAAACGACTTGGAAAAAGAGGGGGGTTGTAGTCGGTTTTTTTAAACGCAGTTTATTAACATTATACAGAGTGTAGATTGACGATATATTAACTTTTAACTAGTGACGTGGGTGTCTCATAGACGGCGTGTTCACGAATATAAGAATTTTCCAAAAAAATGTCCATTGTAGCTAAGATTGTTACATATATTTTTTTAAGTTAAGCGAAATATTTATGTAGTTTATAGAATTTGACTCAAAAACCGCTGATTTCATTCGAAAATGTTGTTTATTTGCACTTCTTTAATAGAATTATAATGGACCGATCATAATACAAGTAAATATTGTGTAAATCAGTAAATAAAAGTATCCATTTCGATTATTTATTATGGTGTTTGACATACGTCGCGTCACTATTTATGGTACGAGTAAACCACGTCAGGACTTGAAGGTTAAAAAAGGGCCAAATTAAAAGTACCCTTAACCGACGAGCATGCATGAAAAGATTGATGACTGTTAATGAAGCGAAAGAGGTATGTAAGAATCATAGTAATTGGCGTCCCATAGTCTCTGCCTGCCATCATGGGAGACAGGCGTGAAGTTATGTAGGTATTGTATTATGTATGTATACAGAGTGTCCCGAAAGTCGACGACCAAATTAAAAAAAACTATATGACTTAGTTTTTTTTATATATTTCTCTGATAACTGTTGGAATCTTGCTGATCACCTGATGCCATTTGACCGATGTCTTCAGGTACCCCCTGTATGTTGAACTTGTTAAATACTTACGTTTTTAATAATAAACTCGAGCAGACGACTGACACCGAGCTCATTGCCATCGCTGCTGACGCCATCCACGGCTGTAGGGGTGAAGAAAATATTACATTATTCAATTTTTTATTAGCTTTTTGACTATTTAGTTAAGCAATATAAACATTTCCGATAAAAAAATGTGCCCAGCAACATTTTTTTCCAAAAATTTGCTAATTGCTAAGATTTAAGATTTCCTGTTGCTGTAACATAAACCAGTAGAAATACGGTATGTCCAGCAACATTGCAAATTTTACACATTTATGCCCAGCAACATTTTTCACAAAAAATATCTTTTCCCATTACTAATTTGACATAAACCAGTACAAAAACCATATGTCCAGCAACATTACAACTTATAAAAAAATATGTCCAGCAACATAACTATTTTTTTTCAAAATTTCGCCCACGTCTGGACTTACCTGTAACTGCAACCCGAACATGGCGAATGCCCCGCTGGCCAACGGTATGCCCAGCAAGTTGTATACACTTGCGAATAAGAAGTTGAGACGAACCCTTCGCACTGTAGTTCTAGATAGTTCTAGACATGCCACTACGTCTAGCAGGTCGTTCTGTGAAAGAGAAGCATTGAAAATATTAAGATTTTTTGTTGTATGAATGTTGTACATATAAATATATAGGCAGTTCCCCGCCTGCATCAGGATCGGCCAATGCGTGGGTATTTGGGCTTACAATAAAACACAGAGTCATAATCATCACTAATCCAACTCTAACTTTATAAAAAATTATAAGATTGTGCGGAACTTTGATGGTTCGTCGGAGATGTCTCGCGCACGCCATGTGTAACCGTAGTCTGGTTCAAAAATATGGCGGCGCTGTTGTCGACATGACGCTCCCTCAGAATGACTTCTGTGGCTAGATGTCATCCTAGTTCCAAAACAAATAATAGACGGCGCTGTGGCTACGCCGTCAAATAGATATATATGGTAATCTTATAAAAGAAACATATAACATAATATCAAGCCTTTTATCCCCGAAGAGGTAGATAGAGGTGCACATTACGGCACTTAATGCCACTGTACAATGTAACACCCAGTTTTCACTATTTATGTTATGAGTCCCATGTAATAGGAGGTGAGCCTATTGCCATATACCGGGCACCATTTCAGACTCTGTGCTACGCTACGACTGAGTTTTTTTTATAAAAACCCAAGAAAACTAGAATAATTCTAAATATTTAGAATAGCAATGATATCATAGCTAGTATTGAAAATTACGTGATGGCTGTTTATAAACGAATCTTTACATAAAAAAGTACGTTCTGCTTTTTGCTACAAAACAATTATTGTTTATGCAGTTGAATTACTAAATTAAAAAAAAAACCTTAATTTCTAACAATACCTTCGAAGCGTTTAATCTAAACACAGTGAAAATATACTTAATTGGTTTTTAAACGTCCTACTTCTTAAAAAAATACTACAATAAGACAATTCGATAATAAAGAAATCAATAAAAAAATATTCCATTTTATGGAAAAGTTGAAATAATTAAGTTTTGACTGAGGTAAATACTCAAAATTATATTTTATCATTCACACATTCTACTTACCCTCATAAGAACCAAATCGGCAGCTTCAACAGCGACGTCAGTCCCACTGGCTATAGCGATGCCCACGTCGGCCTGGGCCAGCGCTGGGGAGTCATTGACCCCGTCGCCCACCATGGCCACCTTCTGCCCTTCTTCTTGTAACTTCTGTATTTTGGCCACTTTGTGTGAGGGCAGTACTTCTGCGTACACTTTGTTTATGCCCACCTGTGGGATTGAATAAAGGTACATTCATAAATACTAATCTATATACTTATATAAATATGAAACCCGTTTCCTGTTGTCACGCCATAATTTGAGAACGGCTAGACCGATTTGGCTGACTTTTTTTTGTTGTGTTTGTTATTGTCAGGAGAAGTTTCTTATAACAGAAAAAAATCCTGAAAATCCTAAAGGAATGAGAGAAAATTGGGATTGCGCGTACGAAGTCGCGGGTAAAAACGAGTAATATGATAAAAATGAAGTTTGTTCGTTTGAAGAACGCACCAATCTCCGGAACTACTAGTTCGAATTGAATGATTCTTTTTTGTTGGATAGTTAATTTATTAACGAAGGCTATAAAATATAAACCGTCACGTTACGTTCAATAGGAGTGGAGCAGAGCGGGTGAAAATCACTAAAATCCAGACAAAGAAATGGAAAAATAATATAACCATAAGGACAATAAATAAATAATGCTATGTTTTTGATTTACCATTTAGACTTCTTGAGGTAATACGCATAATAACTCTGTTTGTAGAGTCGGTTTTTTTTAAGGGGGGAAAATCAGCGAGTGTCAGACTCTTACTGACTAAAAACCACCCCGTTCCTTCTCCTGCACGTCGAGCCGGAGCCCCGGTAACCCGTTAGGTTCTCCGCGACATTGTACCCGGTATAGGACCAGTCCGCCACACGTAGAGTCGGGTAAAAAGCTAAAAAGTTACCTGTCTGGCTATGGCCACGGCAGTCTTCCTGTTGTCTCCCGTCAGTAGACAGACTTGGAGCCCCATCTTCTTGAGGCAGTAGACCGCGAGGTGGGCTTCAGGCTTCACCTCGTCTGCTACGCCAATTGTGCATACTAACTGGTCTGCGGGATAAATACAAATATTTATGTAATGTCTAAGTGTGGGAGAGATATGTTTCGGCACTGCTGGGCCGGCTCGACCGGAGTGATACCACTGCCGAGAAGAAAACCGACGTAACGCTTGGATCGTGTTTACCTCTTCCCCCTTCCCCAATCTCTCCAATCCCTGAATGCCCAAATATCCTCAAATTCCTAATCCCTATAAGGCCGGTAAAGCACAAGTAACTCCTCTAGTGTTCCGGGTGTCCATGGGCGATGCCGATTGCTTATCATCACGTGATCCGTTTGCTCGTTTACCGGCTTCTATCCCAGGTCCAGAATCACAAAAGTTAAGGAAATACTTTAAAAATATTTCTAGATAGTGTTGGACTTGATTAAGATATAAATCAATTCAATCTTTGCTTGGCTGTTCAACCTATTTATGGACAGTTGTTTGAACGACCTGAAAGTAGGAGAGCCTGGATTAAGGATGAATGACACAGTGATTAAAACATTGTTGTATGCCGACGACCAGGTGCTTGTTGCCTCGTCGGCCCAAGAATTACAACAAATGGTCACTGCTATGAGTGATGCATTTGAAAGGAAAGGTATGAAAATAAATGTGAACAAGACGAAAGTGTTGGTGATAGAAAGAAATGAGGTGGTAACAGAATGTCAGGTAATGATAGGTGATGAAAAATTGGAACAAGTGAATGAATTTGTATCTGGGATCACTATTACGAGAGATGGAAAGTGTGACGGGATATTGAAAGGAGAGTGAAAGCGGGAAATAGTGTTAATGGTGCTTTACACTCTGTAATGTCGAGTAAAATAATATCCAGCAAAGCTCGACTTGCTGTAATGCAGTGTGTATTGACACCAACGCTTATGTATGGTAGTGAATCATGGGTGTGGCAGAAGAAGCATGAAAGCAGGATTAATGCGGTGGAAATGAGAGCCCTGAGAAGTATGTGTGGACTAAAATTGAGTGATCGAGTGAAAAATAGTGTTATTAGAGAGAGGTGTGGATTGAAAGACGATGTAGTGACAAGGATTGAAAAGGGAATGTTACGCTGGTTTGGACATGTAGAAAGGATGGATGAAAGTAGAGTAACGAAAGAAGTATACAGAGCGGATATGAATGGAGCCGTCGGTAGAGGGCGCCCTAGACGGACATATAGTGACCAGATTGGCGATATATTAAAGAAGGGCCAAATTAAAAGTACCCTTAACCGACGAGCATGCATGAAAAGATTGATGACTGTTAATGAAGCGAAAGAGGTATGTAAGAATCGTAGTAATTGGCGTTCCTTAGTCTCTGCCTACCCCCATGGGAGACAGGCGTGAAGTTATGTATGTATGTATGTCTTTGCCCAGCATGACTTATGCCCAATGCTGGGCTAGCTAAAACTGTAACGATTTTTCTGTCTTTTTTGTCTTGTGGTACGATATTGTTAAATCTTTATTTAAATGGATTTTCAACAGGCATTGATCTTCAGATTTAGTCCAGCACTGAAGATACTACAAATGTGGACACTCCTTTATTTACACTCATACTCAGTATTGGTTTTAAGCTCAAAAACATTAGTCCAACGCTGGCCTTAACATAAAACATCCTAAAAACCTACAAATCAACTTAAACCGCTACAAAACTCCAAGTCCAGCGCTGGCCTTAAGTCCCACACACTAGCCCAGCAACTTACCATTGATAGCAGCGAGAACAGCAGTTCTGCCAAGCTCCTCGTCTTGCTGCATAGCTTCCTGTACCCTGCGTGGGACTGTCACTCCGTTCCTGGACATCCATTCTCGATTGCCGATTAAAACTACTTGTTCTACATCCTGTAAATATAAAAACAATTATAAGTCATGCTTTTTATATCTTGATTGCTTCGAACGTACAAAAATTTGTTTTTATGATATAACTAGCGGACCCGACGGACGTTGTCCTGCATATCCACTTGAAGGTATAAACAAAAATTCATTCAAATTAGTTCAGCCGTTTAGAATAAATAACCTAGACACCGACTGCAGCGCCATCTGCCGGGCTGATTTATGAATCTAAACCGTTAACAGATCCCGTTGAACACACACAAAAAATTTCATCAAAATCGGTCCAGTCGTTTGAGAGAAGTTCAGTGACATACACACTCACAGAAGAATTATATATATTATAAAGATATAACTAGCAGAGATTTTTTTTATATTTACGCGAGTAACTCATACGTACTTATTAGTATAAAATCCTTTTAGATTTTCGTAATGACCCTGTGAATACAGGTTGTCTGCAATAGGCTTATTACATGCACTTGAAATGTATCTAATATAAATTCTATATATAATAATATAATAAGGTATATAATCATCGAATGACTGCTCCCGCCTGGGTGAGGCGGGAGGGAGTGTCAGACTTTTACTGACTAAAAACCACCCCGGTTCTTCTCCTGCGCTTCGAGCCGGAGCCCCGGTAACCCGTTAGGTTCTCCGCGACTCCGTATCGACATCAGCCCTATTGGGCCCCATCTGTGGTGGTCTGATGGCTCTTTAATTAACACGGATAGAAAATCCCAACGAATAACTGTTGGGTAGAAAGCCCGCCAGGCATGATCACCTCGCCTGATCGGAGGATCCTGCTTTTCCGATCTTAGGGAAGTTTCTTCTTTGTTCCCTAAAGACTTATTCTATTGCACAGACAGAGCGTCCTCACCTCCCCCCCGCTGGGCTGGTCGGTCCGGATGAGGGAGTGCAGCCTGGCGGCCGCCTGCGCCGAGCTCAGCGCCGCGTCCCCGCCCGGGGACACTACCTCCACTGGCACTCCTTCTACCAGGAATGAGGTGCCGGATCTGAGGGAGAAATGTTTTTGAACATAACTAATCTATACATAACTAGCTGTTGCTCGCGTGGAATTGTGATTCACAGCTCCTCCCCAGTAGATGATAGCGTGATAATATGTAAACTATATGTTGACCCGACCTGTTAGTAATATTCATGCAAAATTTGAAGTAAATCCACGTAGTACTTTTGTGTTCATTCCGGACATACATACAGACGAACAGACAAAAATTCTGAACACCATATTTTGGCTTCGGTATCGATTGTATATTGTTTTTTGTTTGTATGTATGTCCGGGATGATCTCAAAAAGTACTGCATGGATTTACTTCACCGGTGACCTACGTTAGCGGAGGATTTGCCTTCAGCAGTTTTCTGTCGGTTGTCAAAGGCTTAAAACAGGTACCATTTATGAATGTGACATGTTTGGACGTTTGGACGTTCGCCATGTTAGTGTGGGCACTGACCTGGGCTCAGGCGGGCGCGCAGGCCGCAGCCGGGCGCCGCCATGTTAGTGTAGGTGTGGGCACTGACCTGCTGGTTTTGAAGTTGGCGAGGCCGGCGGCTGCGCGGCGCGGGCCGCGCGGCGCGCAGGCCGCAGCCGGGCGCCGCCATGTTTAGTGTAGGTGTGGCACTGACCTGGGCTGGTTGTTGAAGTTGGCGAGGCCGGCGGCTGCGCGGGCGCGGGCCGCGGGCGGGCGCGCAGGCCGCAGCCGGGCCCGCCATGTTAGTGTAGGTGTGGGCACTGACCTGGCTGGTTGTTGAAGTTGCGAGGCCGGCGGGCTGCGCGGGCGCGGGCCGCAGGCGGCGCGCAGGCCGCAGCCGGGCGCCGCCATGTTAGTGTAGGTGTGGGCACTGACCTGGGCTGGTTGTTGAAGTTGGCGAGGCCGGCGGGCTGCGCGGGCGCGGGCCGCAGGCGGGCGCGCAGGCCGCAGCCGGGCGCCGCCATGTTTAGTGTAGGTGTGGGCACTGACCTGGGCTGGTTGTTGAAGTTGGCGAGGCCGGCGGGCTGCGCGCGCGGGCGCGGCGGCGCGCAGGCCGCAGCCGGGCGCCGCCATGTTAGTGTAGGTGTGGGCACTGACCTGGGCTGGTTGTTGAAGTTGGCGAGGCCGGCGGGCTGCGCGGGCGCGGGCCGCAGGCGGGCGCGCAGGCCGCAGCCGGGCGCCGCCATGTTAGTGTAGGTGTGGGCACTGACCTGGGCTGGTTGTTGAAGTTGGCGAGGCCGGCGGGCTGCGCGGCGCGGGCCGCAGGCGGGCGCGCAGGCCGCAGCCGGGCGCCGCCATGTTAGTGTAGGTGTGGGCACTGACCTGGGCTGGTTGTTGAAGTTGGCGAGGCCGGCGGGCTGCGCGGGCGCGGGCCGCGGGCGGGCGCGCAGGCCGCAGCCGGGCGCCGCCATGTTAGTGTAGGTGTGGGCACTGACCTGGTGGTTGAAGTTGGCGAGGCCGGCGGCTGCGCGGGCGCGGGCCGCGGGCGGGCGCGCAGGCCGCAGCCGGGCGCCGCCATGTTAGTGTAGGTGTGGGCACTGACCTGGGCTGGTTGTTGAAGTTGGCGAGGCCGCGGGCTGCGCGGGCGCGGGCCGCGGGCGGGCGCGCAGGCCGCAGCCGGGCGCCGCCATGTTAGTGTAGGTGTGGGCACTGACCTGGGCTGGTTGTTGAAGTTGGCGAGGCCGGCGGGCTGCGCGGGCGCGGGCCGCAGGCGGGCGCGCAGGCCGCAGCCGGGCGCCGCCATGTTAGTGTAGGTGTGGGCACTGACCTGGGCTGGTTGTTGAAGTTGGCGAGGCCGGCGGGCTGCGCGGGCGCGGGCCGCAGGCGGGCGCGCAGGCCGCAGCCGGGCGCCGCCATGTTAGTGTAGGTGTGGGCACTGACCTGGGCTGGTTGTTGAAGTTGGCGAGGCCGGCGGGCTGCGCGGGCGCGGCCGCAGGCGGGCGCGCAGGCCGCAGCCGGGCCCGCCATGTTAGTGTAGGTGTGGGCACTGACCTGGGCTGTTTTGAAGTTGGCGAGGCCGGCGGGCTGCGCGGGCGCGGGCCGCAGGCGGGCGCGCAGGCCGCAGCCGGGCGCCGCCATGTTAGTGTAGGTGTGGGCACTGACCTGGGCTGGTTGTTGAAGTTGGCGAGGCCGGCGGCTGCGCGGGCGCGGGCCGCAGGCGGGCGCGCAGGCCGCAGCCGGGCGCCGCCATGTTAGTGTAGGTGTGGGCACTGACCTGGGCTGGTTGTTGAAGTTGGCGAGGCCGGCGGGCTGCGCGGGCGCGGGCCGCAGGCGGGCGCGCAGGCCGCAGCCGGGCGCCGCCATGTTAGTGTAGGTGTGGGCACTGACCTGGGCTGGTTGTTGAAGTTGGCGAGGCCGGCGGGCTGCGCGGGCGCGGGCCGCAGGCGGGCGCGCAGGCCGCAGCCGGGCGCCGCCATGTTAGTGTAGGTGTGGGCACTGACCTGGGCTGGTTGTTGAAGTTGGCGAGGCCGGCGGGCTGCGCGGGCGCGGGCCGCAGGCGGGCGCGCAGGCCGCAGCCGGGCGCCGCCATGTTAGTGTAGGTGTGGGCACTGACCTGGGCTGGTTGTTGAAGTTGGCGAGGCCGGCGGGCTGCGCGGGCGCGGGCCGCAGGCGGGCGCGCAGGCCGCAGCCGGGCGCCGCCATGTTAGTGTAGGTGTGGGCACTGACCTGGGCTGGTTGTTGAAGTTGGCGAGGCCGGCGGGCTGCGCGGGCGCGGCCGCGGGCGGGCGCGCAGGCCGCAGCCGGGCGCCGCCATGTTAGTGTAGGTGTGGGCACTGACCTGGGCTGGTTGTTGAAGTTGGCGAGGCCGGCGGGCTGCGCGGGCGCGGGCCGCGGGCGGGCGCGCAGGCCGCAGCCGGGCGCCGCCATGTTAGTGTAGGTGTGGGCACTGACCTGGGCTGGTTGTTGAAGTTGGCGAGGCCGGCGGGCTGCGCGGGCGCGGGCCGCAGGCGGGCGCGCAGGCCGCAGCCGGGCGCCGCCATGTTAGTGTAGGTGTGGGCACTGACCTGGGCTGGTTGTTGAAGTTGGCGAGGCCGGCGGGCTGCGCGGGCGCGGCCGCAGGCGGGCGCGCAGGCCGCAGCCGGGCGCCGCCATGTTAGTGTAGGTGTGGGCACTGACCTGGGCTGGTTGTTGAAGTTGGCGAGGCCGGCGGGCTGCGCGGGCGCGGGCCGCAGGCGGGCGCGCAGGCCGCAGCCGGGCGCCGCCATGTTAGTGTAGGTGTGGGCACTGACCTGGGCTGGTTGTTGAAGTTGGCGAGGCCGGCGGGCTGCGCGGGCGCGGGCCGCAGGCGGGCGCGCAGGCCGCAGCCGGGCGCCGCCATGTTAGTGTAGGTGTGGGCACTGACCTGGGCTGGTTGTTGAAGTTGGCGAGGCCGGCGGGCTGCGCGGGCGCGGGCCGCAGGCGGGCGCGCAGGCCGCAGCCGGGCGCCGCCATGTTAGTGTAGGTGTGGGCACTGACCTGGGCTGGTTGTTGAAGTTGGCGAGGCCGGCGGGCTGCGCGGGCGCGGGCCGCAGGCGGGCGCGCAGGCCGCAGCCGGGCGCCGCCATGTTAGTGTAGGTGTGGGCACTGACCTGGGCTGGTTGTTGAAGTTGGCGAGGCCGGCGGGCTGCGCGGGCGCGGGCCGCAGGCGGGCGCGCAGGCCGCAGCCGGGCGCCGCCATGTTAGTGTAGGTGTGGGCACTGACCTGGGCTGGTTGTTGAAGTTGGCGAGGCCGGCGGGCTGCGCGGGCGCGGGCCGCAGGCGGGCGCGCAGGCCGCAGCCGGGCGCCGCCATGTTAGTGTAGGTGTGGGCACTGACCTGGGCTGGTTGTTGAAGTTGGCGAGGCCGGCGGGCTGCGCGGGCGCGGGCCGCAGGCGGGCGCGCAGGCCGCAGCCGGGCGCCGCCATGTTAGTGTAGGTGTGGGCACTGACCTGGGCTGGTTGTTGAAGTTGGCGAGGCCGGCGGCTGCGCGGGCGCGGGCCGCAGGCGGGCGCGCAGGCCGCAGCCGGCGCCGCCATGTTAGTGTAGGTGTGGGCACTGACCTGGGCTGGTTGTTGAAGTTGGCGAGGCCGGCGGGCTGCGCGGGCGCGGGCCGCAGGCGGGCGCGCAGGCCGCAGCCGGGCGCCGCCACGAAGCTCACGCACACCAGCCCGCTGCGACCGCCCAGCGCCGCGCTGCACCATCGGACTATCGCTAGGGGGGAATGGTGATGATTTTGTATAACGTAACATGACATAACATCACGCCTTTTATTCCCGAAAGAGTAGGCAAAGGTGTACATAACGCTACTTAATGCCATTATACAATGTAACACTTACTTTTCACTATTTAAGTTATGATGTAATAGGGGGTGAGCTTATTGCCACATACCGAGAATTTTTATAAATCCAGTAATAATCCCTTGCCCGGCAATCGCACTTATGACTACTCGGTCAACGAGACAGTTACGATTTTTTTAGCAATATCAAAAATAACAATAAGTTCTCTAATTTGAAAAGATACTAAACATACTCTCTCACTCTACTATCACATTATAACCCACTATAATTTTTTTATATGAGATAAGAGAATTAAAAATATCACTCACCCGAAGCTACGGGGTGTTCAGAATTGAGTTCAGCAGTAAGTAGACAGGCGAGCACCGAACCCAGGGTATTGGCGGAACCAGTCAGTAGGGATAGCTTGGCGACCGTCGCACTGCCGCGCGTGATGGTACCCGTCTTGTCGAATATCACTGTTTTTACCTGCGAATTGACATTTACTTTTGGTAATATGGGGTGAATCTAAGGGTGAATCTTACCCCCCCCCCCTTCCTTCCCCAATCTGTCCAATCCCTGAATACCCAACAATCCTCAAACTCCTAATCCCCAAAAGGCCGGTAACGCACTTGTAACGCCTCTGGTGTCCTGATATCCATGGGCGACGCCGATTGCTTACCATCAGGTGATTCGTCTGCTCGTTTACCGGCGCATCCCATAAAAAAATAGAATTCAAGGCGTGAAAGTTTTAAGTGAAAAAAAATATCTGGGTATTTGAATGTCCAGTTACATGCAAAATGCAAAACTATGTAACTACTAGAGAATTGTATTGTGAACCTGATTAAAAAAGAGTAACCTATGGAGTTTCTTGCTCGTTCTTCTCCATAGGAATCTAAACCTTGGAATGAGCGAATAGCTTCACTTTTAATTTTATTATTGACTTTCCAAGATGCCTTTCTGGTCTAATTGAAATAAATGATTATGACTTTGACTTTGATAAAGATAATTAACTTGTAAATGTTTTCCAGTGGGTTAGCGGTAATAATGAAACTGTTCGATTCGGATATCAAATGAGGCGTTCCTATAGTTTTTATATCAAAATGTTTTTATATCAAAATTATATCAAAATGCCTTGACAGTATTAAGACCGTAACGCTCTGAATGCTCTGAATTAACTTAATTTCTTTAACATTGCTTGTGTGACATTCATAATTGATGATTACCTTTTTACATAACATATTTAATTTGACATTACATTTTTAACTTCAATGGTATTCAATTTTAATTTATTTGCCATACTGTATTCAATTTAACAACATTACAATTAATTAAACTTAATGTACCTAATTTTTTATACCATATCTTTGCATGCCAAGTGAAGGCAAAATATGGAGAAACTGTATATTTTGTTAATACCTATATTATGTACACATGTTTGCAAACGATTAAATGAATGAATGAATGATGAAGTCAAAATTAGATTACAATTAAAGGGCGCTGTATGGCCAAAAGTAGAATGTTCCTGGAGGACAGTATCTAAAGTCTGACTGAAATATATAATAGGGTAGTTTCCTAAATTTTATTTCAATGTCCGTCTGGTACATTATTTTAAATCATTACACACGTATTTTTTATTTTCTCACAAAATTAAATGCTTTTGACGATTTATATTGATTTGAAATGTCGCGTGACGTCACAGCGTGCTACAAAATGTACCACGTTCTGACGTTATTACCTCCTACTCCTAAACTTAACGCCATTTTATTTAAGTATTGTAACTTTATACAACAAAATAAAAAAATACGTGTGTAATATTTTTTCATTATCTAACTGACGGACTAGTTAGATTTTTAATTTTCTTACCATGGAAACTACCCTATTTCGCAAAGCCACAAGATACAAACACATGACTAAACTAAAACTAAACTATTGTACTTTTTATATAAGATACCTATTACATAAGTGTAAAATAGTAAATACCACATTTTTTTATTGTTTAACTGTACAATGTTTTGGCTTGAGCTGTAAAATGATACATGTGCTTATAAATAAATAAATAGTACATACTTTATGTGCGTTCTCCAAGGGCTCGGCGCCCTTGATGAGCAGCCCCAGCTTGGCGCCGACGCCGGTGGCCACCATGACGGCGGTGGGCGTGGCCAGCCCCAGCGCGCACGGGCACGCGATGGCCAGCACCGACAGCGCGAAGTGGAACGCCGTCTGCACTATCAGCTCCCACTCCGCGTAGCCCGCGTTCACGTACATCGGCTATACACATTGACCATACTTCAAACAAAGCATTTTGTCCAGTGTCGTGGGTGCTACAAACATATATCGACATCGCCGCGACCGCGCACGCTGCTCATGAGGAAAAACCCCTCTGTGGTTCGAAACTAGTAGAGGTTTTCTTAGTATATTCACGTGAGTAACCCACGTTAACCCCCGATTAAACTCTCTATTACCCCCCCTCCGTTCTCAAAACCCCAATAATCCTTAAATTCCTAATCTTCAAAAGGTCAGTAACACATATGTAACGCCTCTGGTGTTCCAGGTGTCCATGGGCGACGCCGAATGCTTACCATCAGGTGATCCGTTTACTCGTTTATCGGTTTATCCCATAAAAATATGAGTGTTAAGATACGGTAATGTCAATTTTAGTAAATCAAATTTTACTTTTATCCGATACAGGAATCAAATACAATCCACGTTGTGATGGAAATATAAGATACGAATAGATAAGTTTTCGACACAATATTTATTTAGTAATAAGAACTAAAAATAATTAAAATCTTATAAAATACTAGCTAACCCGACAAACGTTGTTTAGCTATTAAAAATATGTAAATTGGCTATTAAAAAATAAGGGTTGATCGTAGAAGGGTGAAAATTGAGGAATGTATGTTTTTTTGTACGTTGTATCATAAAAAAATAGTTATTAAAAATTGTGTCTAAAAAATAAAAAAAATTAGGGCTGGACTACTCCTAACATTTAGGGTGATGAAAAATAGATGTTGGGCGATTCTCATAGATACCGGATAAGCACAAAAAATTTCATCAAAATCGGTCAAGCCGTTTCGAAGTAGTATGGCAACGAAAACTGTGACACGAGAGTTTTATATATTAGATTGTCTCAGTTTCAAACAATGTTCTATAATTATGAGGTAACTCACCGGTGTAATACGCTTGATCCTATCAATATTGAGTGCTCCACTGATCAGCCAACAAATGAGGGTCAGCAGAGATAGGAACACCACTAGAGGGACGAAGTACCTGTAATAGAAAATTACTATTCATTTACAATTCACACAAAGATCAATATAACATAACATCAGGCCTTTTATCCCCGAAGGGTTAGGCAGAGATGCTCGTTACGGCACTTAATGCCACTGCACAATGTAACACCCACTTTTCACTATTATGAGTTCCATTTAATAAGCATTTTTTTTAACGGGACAAGTCCACCACAACCTCCCAAAACCGCTGCAACTCCTGTGCACCAGGATCTACAGTAGATACAACCATGAAAACACCGGAACACTGAAGTCCAACGTCTCAGGGACATGAATAACTGTCTTGGTTCCCGCAACGAAGTCAATCAGAAGATATTATAAGAGGAGAAGAAGAAAAAACCCACTCTCTAAGGGGTAAACATAAGCGTAAGTAGTACGGACTACTTACCTGAAAAAAACTCAGTAATAATTTGCCCGACCCGAGAATCAAACCCGAGACTTGAGACGCACTTCCAACCACTCGATCAACGAGGCAGTCGGACAAATATCAAATTTGGGTAATAAATACGAAATATGCACAATAAAACAAACATACCCGGCAATAGTATCAGCCAGTCTCTGCACAGGTGCCTTACTGGCCTGGGCATCCTCCACCAGCCGCACGATCTGCGCAAGTGTACTCGCCTCGCCCGTGTGGGTCGCCGTCACCACCAGCGCGCCGTGCTGGTTTATACTGCCGCCTATCACTAGAGAGTCTATTGGAGACAAATAATAAATAATCATTATTATAACACATAACATAACAACACGCCTTTTATCCCTGAAGGGGTAGGTAGAGGTGCACATTACGACACTGTACAATGTAACACCCACTTTTCACAATTTATGTAATGAGTCCCATGTAATAGGGGGTGAGCCTATTGCCATATACCGGGCACAATTCCAGACTCCGTGCTACTACTGAAAATTTATAAAATACACAGTAGTACTTTGCCCGACCCGGGAATCGAACCCGAGACCACTTGCCCGGCAATCGCACTTGCGACCACTCGGCCAACGAGGCAGTCATTATTATCTCTACAAGTAATTATCATTGTGTCAATTTTAAGTGTGAAAACCATGCTTCAGCACTGCTGGGTCGGATCGGAGTGATACCACCAACGAGCTGGACACCATAGTGACACAACCACAGTCTTGTGAGTGAGGTTACCGGAAGCTCAATAACCCCCCCTCTGCAATCCCTGAATCCTCAAAAATCCTTAAATTCCTAATCCCAAAAGGCCAGTAACGCCTCTGGTGTTCCAATGTCCATGGGCGCCACCGATTGCTTGCCATCAGGTGATCTGGCTTATCCCATAAAAAACCCATCGTCGTCAGCTCCCTCTCATCATCTTCCACAAAAAAAACAACAATAATCATCATTGCCTTCTCCATTCACCATCATCACCGTCTGTTAGTGTGTTTTTTAAATCTATTATTTTACTATTTCATTTGTGTTTTATTTAATATACTGTTGCTTGTTATCCTTAATAAAATAAAATTACCGTTTCAAATCGTCATCACTACCATCTTCAGTCATCATAATCACTAATTCTACAAATATACCAATCATCGTCACCAACCTGCTTACCAACTTACCTTTAGTCTTCGGCACAGGCATAGATTCCCCGGTGATCAGTGACTCGTCACACGTACTCTGTCCGAAGAGGACTTTCCCGTCCACTGGCACTTTAGCTCCTGGCACTACCTGGTAATCATCAGACCCTGGTCAATCTTACTTCTTACTACTATTATAAATAAAAAAGTTTGTGTGTGTTTGTTACTCGATTATGTCAAAATGGCTGAAGAGATCGGGATGAAATTTGGAATAGGGATAGGTCATGGTCTGAAAAGGGGTCATCCTTAAATTACGTCACACGAATTTCACATTTTTTTGCTCATTCCCCGTCCTAGTCACATTTGTGATATCCCCCCCCTAGTATGACGTCATATTTTGCAGAATTACGTAGTATACAAATTATTGAACGCAAACAGCGGTTCCGAAATCAGTTTTATATCTATTTAAATTACTTACTTTAAAAAATATTAATACAATAATAAAATATTAATATAATTAATATATTTCGTGTTTTATACTTAATAATTTTTGAAATGTGATATCACAAAGTTAGGGATTCCTCCCTCCCCCTTGTCACACAATGTCACACTTCGTCGACCCCCTCCCTACCCCTTAACCTGTGACGTAATTTATGGACGGCCCCAAAGACACATAGGGTACTTTTTAACCCATTGGAAAACGGGCGAACCTGCTGGCAGAAGGTAGTATTCAATAAGCATGTATAATCGGCGAAAGGGAAGATTGTTTTTATAATAACGTGAGACATAACTAAATTAACTAAAAAATCGCGGGTTACTCAGTAGGCTGCGGGACGTCGCCGCGACCTCGCACGCTGCTCATGAGGAAGAACCCCTCTGTGGTTCAGACTCGTAGAGTTTTCAGTATTTTCCGCAATTTTTTGGTTAATAAAAGGAGGATTGATACGACGGCCTTGCAGTATACCGACGCCTCGTGAGCGAGGTTACCGGAAGCCTAATACTTCTCCTTCTCAACCTCCCCAGACCCCGATTTTTTTTTCTTCTCCTTTAAATATCTTCTGATTGACTTCGTTGCGGGAACCAAGACAGTTACTCATGTCCCTGGGACGTTGGACTTCAGTGTTCCGGTGTAGATCCTGGTGCACAGGAGTTGCAGCGGTGTTTGGTAGGCTGTGGCGGACTTGTCCTAATTTTAAAGCCCCCGAATTTCAAACTCAAATCCCTAACCACTAAAAGCCTGGGTACGCACTTGTAACTTCTCTAGTGTTCCGTGTGTCTTTAGACGGCGCTGATTGACTGATATCCCATAAAAATCAGATAAAAGAGCAAGTTTAACAGTTTTTTACACAGTCCGCAACGGGTATACGACACCTGCGGGAATAATAGCGGTAGTGACCAATAAAACATACCTTGAGCACATCCCCCCTCTCCACCAGGTCGACAGGTATACTCTTCTCGCTGATCGGATGTCCATTGTCATCCAATGTCACCAGCACTGCTTCAGTAGGCTTCAGGGAGAGGAGTTTCGATAGAGCTTCTGAGGTTTTACCCTGGAAGAGAAGTTGGAATTTAGTTGTTGTATGGTATTTTTTTTTTAAGGGGGGAAAATCATCGAATGACTGCTCCCGCCTGGGTGAGGCGGGAGGGAGTGTCAGACTCTTACTGACTAAAAACCACCCCGTTCCTTCTCCTGCACGTCGAGCCGGAGCCCCGGTTACCCGTTAGGTTCTCCGCGACTGTTGTATGGTATAAGACATTGCCGGGGGGGGTCGCGAACGCAGTGCGGAAGTACAGTTCTCGTTGCCCGCCCTCATACGCGAGTGGCACACCCCGGGGTTTTTAGTGGGTTCGAGCCCCACATAACCCGGCCTCGGCCCCGCAAGGCCGAGTATGCACGGCATTATCCCCGGGCGAAAAAAAAATGGTATAAGATTTACTTTTTCAGCAATATGTGCTACTGGTTTTTTGGTCAATAGATGGCGCTAATGCATCGTGACGTTTAGTTTGCTCAATAGAGAACTAGCTAATGTCAAAGTTCTCATTGTATTAGCCACAAAACAGGTCTACCGCCATCTATTGTAAAACTTGTGTGTGCAAACATTTATAAATAATAGATTTATTACATTATTTATTCAAAGTCAAAGTCAAAATCATTTATTTCAATGGGGATGATGACAGGGTATGAAAATTAAAAATATAATTAGTCCGTAAGTTAGGTAATGAAAAAATATTAGACACGTATTTTTTTATTTTGTCGTATAATAAAACAATACTTAGATAAAACGAATCAAAGTTTAGGAGTGGGGGCTAAAACGTCATTCCTTAGTATAAAATGTACTGAGAAGTGACGTCACGCGACATTTCAAATCAATATATCTTCGAAACTATTCGTTTCTGTGAGAAAAGAAAAAATACGTGTCTAATGTTTTTAAATAATCTATCAGACGGACATTAAAATAAAAATTAGTCGTCTACCCTATTAGACCAGAAAGGCACTTTTGAACGTTAACAAAAAAAACGTACCTTAGCGATGTGTTCCAGCCACCTCCCTAGCGACACGAAGACCAGCAACATGGGGGGAGTGTCGAAGAACGTGACCGGACTGGTGTCCTGCTGCATCGCCATCGCGGCTATTACTACCGCCAGCGAGTACACGTAGCTGTTGGAATGAAAATAAATATAATGGATGAGCAACAAAGAAGAATAAACAGAGAATCACGGCAGAGGGCGCGCTGGGCCGCAGACTCGGGTACCCAGTACCCAGTAGCAGCGACAGTCGCCGCGACGCGGGGCGCGGAATGCTACTAATGATTTTTTTTTCTTTAGAAAAACGTTGCCCCAAGTAACGGGGTGGTTTTTAGTCAGTAAGAGTGTGACGCTACCTCCCGCCTCAACCAGGCGGGAGCAGTCATTCGATGATTTTCCCCCTTAAAAAAAAAACACTAGGATTTTTTCCCGTGTCGTGTTTACGTTTACAAACATACAATATCACATACACATCACACACAGACACGGAACTACAATCTGTGGATCACACAAAGAGTTGTCCGTGCGGGTATCGAACCCACGACACGTTGCGCGACAGCCACCAGACACCGCGCCAACCGTGCAGTCAAAGTCCTGAATCCCTAACGATCCTCAAACTCCTAATCCCCAAAAGGCCGGTAACGCACTTGTAACGCCTCTGGTTTTAAGTGTCCATGGGCGACGCCGATTGCTTACCATCAGGTGATACGTCTGCTTGTTTACCGGCTTATGCCATAAAAGAAATATGTTGTCTATTTAACTTACCTGATAGTAGTTGTCATAGATATTAGCACATCCATGTTAGAAGTCCCATGTCTCAGCGCCTTGTAAGCTTGCTTGTAGAAGTGCCAGCCGCCTATGAACTGAAATTAAATATTTTCAGTAAATAAGTGGTGTATTTTGAACCTTATTATTAGGAAGTAACTGTCGTACTCAGAGTCTTTAATGATTACTTAAAATATTCCTTAGTAAGGATTTTGTTCCGTAAACAATTGCGCACTTTCCTTAATCAAAAATATATTATTTCGACTGTTCAATACAACAAAACATTAAACAATAATCACACTTTCATTAATTGATTTTATGACCAACTTCATTTTAGTATTAATACGTATACAAATTTTTTAAGATATAAATATGCTGTTTGACGCTATAAAAACGTGACGTCACAATACACAATCTCGTACAAAATTCATAGAAAACTGTCGTTTTTGTCAGTTCGAAAAAAGTATTGAATTTGACTAGTTGGCTATTTGGCACTAATTGACTTGAGCAATTGCTAAGGATTGGGTTAAGTCATCATTGTTTTTTTTTAAACTTAGTCCTATTCAAGGTTTATCCTACCGTGTCGTGTGTACGTTTACCACCATACAAGTTCACACACACGTACACACAGACACGGAACTACAATCTGTAGATCACACAAAGAGTTGCTCTGTGCGGGAATCGAACCCGCGACACGTTGCGGGGCAGCCAGTTGTCCAGCCAGTGTATGCTTAGATCTTTAAAAGTAGGTACCGGATTTTGATGCGGGTTTTTTTTAATAGGTAGAGTGATTGATTCGTAAGAAGGGTTATATATACAGGGTGTAAACGGAACGCTCCCGAAAAACGCTGATAGATTATGGTCAATAACCAGTTATATTTTCATGAAAGTAAGGAATTAAATGTTTCCTTAACTTAATAATTGTTGTAAATAACCGTTTAAGGCTGACGTTGTATGAATAACCTGTAAAAAACAATTAAAATTTTAAAAATTATTATTTTTGTCAGCGTTTTTCGGGAGTGTTCCATTTACACCCTGTATAATACATGAATGCGAAGCCGGGGCGAGTCGCTAGTTTATAAAATACACTTAAAAGTGTCACCTGTACGGGCGTCGAGAGCAGGAACATGATCAAGTTGTCGAGACTCAAACCCGGGACGACGCAGCACATGTCCTTGGCGCTGTGTCCGTGCGACATGGTGGCCATGAAGTACGCCATGGCGACCATACACGGCCCGCCGAACAGCAACGATATCAGGAACGCGTTCCGCCATTTCTTTATTTCTTCTCTGTTTGCAACGAAATGTATTATGTTAGCAGGAGTAGGAACGGGATGGATTATAGTCGGCGCTGTTATGTTTTGAAAAAAAAAAATATTCGTAATAGAAAATAATCTGTACGGTGGAACCATACACTGGTAATGCACTTATGCTTATTCGTGCATTTTACCATACTTCATTAATTGATATTAGTCGAGCATTCAGTACACTACTAGCGGTCATCGCATGTGCTCCCTACCTTCTTTGTAACACTCATAAACCTTTGGCCTGATTATTATATACGTTTTACACACATAACATCACGCCTTTTTATCCCTTAAGGGGTAGGCAGAGGTGCACATTACGGCACTTAATGCCACTGTACAATATATACGTTGTACAATATGTACGTTTTATTATTGACTTTATAACTGCCATATCATTTCACCTACTACCAAATTCTTCATAATCTTTCGTGAAAAAATACACCGTTGATTGAAACATATTCAAGGCAAGCAATTTAACATTTCTAGAAAACTGATTTTCCAAAATATAGGTCAGGTAAAAATTGTAGATTTAATCTATAAAAAATAATATAATATAACATAACATCACGCCTTTTATCCCCTAAGGGGTAGGCAGAGGTGCACATTATGCTACTGTACACTGTAACACCCATTTTACACTATTTATGTTATGAGTAATAGGGGGTGAGCCTATTGCCATATACCGGGCACAATTCCAGACTCCGAGCTACTACTGAGAATATATTAAAAACCCAGTAATACTTTGCCCTTGCCCGGCAGTCGCACTTGCGACCACTCGGCCAACGAGGCAGTCTATAAAAAATAGTTGTAGGTAATTTCATTTAAAGAAAAAATATTTTTAAACAATCAATTACAAAAATAAATAAAACACAACTTACTTATGTTCCAAATAATTAGTAGTGCCTCTGTTATGCGGTGTCACGACGCTGGCATCGAACCCGAGATTGTTGATCGCTTCACATATAGTGCGCGGACCTATCTGCTCGGCGTTGTATTTTATCTTACCTCTGTGGACAAACATATTGGAAAATTAGTGTGTTGATTTGTTTGATTGAGATTGCAAAAATAATCTTTGTAATGACTAGAGTTGACAGTTTTTAATGACGCAATCAAGCCGCCATCTTGTTGTTTACTTCGATCTATCTCTAACGATTTAAATTTCATTCCGTTATACTCTGTGGTAGGATCCAGACGTATTACTTCCAAGTTATAAAAGGATAATATAAAATTATCGTACTTGAATGTCTGCGTGTTTTATTATCAGCCCCTGCCTAAATTTCAACATAGTGTTAAACCAATGGCTGTACTCATCAACCATATCTTAACTAAAAGTTTTTTATGGTTTAAGCCGGTAACCGAGCGTGGCGATGGTGGGGGGGGGGTATGGGTGTGTGTGCTTTCGTGTGAGTGAGGTTGAATCCCCAACAATCGTCAAACTCCTAATCCCCAAAAGGCCGGTAACGCACTTTTACGCCTCTGGTGTTCCATGTGTCCATGAGCGACGACGATTGCTTACCATCAGGTGATCCGTGTGCTCGTTTACCGGCTTATGCCATAAAAAAGAAGCCGATAGCATAAGCTTGTTTAATATAACAGGTATTTTAACTTACTTGCAAGTAGTCAATGCTACAGTACAGGATACAACTCCGGTTAGTTTCAGTACGCTCTTCTCTATCTTGTTGACACAGGACGCGCAAGTCATGCCTTTTATCTGAAATATAAATAAATACAATATTATTAATACGTAGACAAAGACATATCTCATTTTTTAAATGTACTGTGACTTAATTAGCAATCCCCGAGTTGTTCGCCAAGTATGGGGATTATGGCAACAAGCCTTGAAAATATAGGAATAACTGACAGACATTGTTTGACTTTCAAAAGTGGTCTAATCAATACAATTTTTACAAGAAGTATGATTCTCAAATCTGATTCTTTTAAATTGCGATCCAAACAGGTGACAAGCTTGGAGATTATGGTAAACCCATATTATGTAGAGGGCTTCTTCTTTGAATGTCACGGGCTATTAATGTATTAATATTGTTTGTTATTAATGTCTTAACCCCTCGAGCGTCCTTATAAGCACCCGGTGGATCATAAGAAAAAATGCTCCATACTGCTTTCTCTTTTATAAAATCTATTAGTATTGTTTTGTTTTTATTTTGACTGTATTTGTTTTATTTCTATTGTAATGATCCTTGTTTTCGTGTGCCAATGGTCAAATAAATGCATTTTCTTTCTTTCTTTATTTCTCCAAATGTCACGTGTGCACCCGTTGGATCATAAGGAACGCGGACGCTCGGCGGGTTAACATTAAAACCAGCCACTGAATCCCTACGTCATTAACCAAGCGCGGGGATTATAGTAACAAGCTCTAAAGAGGCTTTGTTCTGTAATGGACGTTCTCTGATTGTGTTTCTATCTTTTTTTAAATTTTTTATTTATTTCCAGGGTTTATTCTTAATAGAAAACATCACCCCGATTATTGAATACAAAAAAAAAACAAAAAGAACACTTATACTTAGACTTACATTCTACTAGATTATTACTACATAGTATAAAACAAAGTCGCTATCCGCCGTCTGTCTGTCCCTATGTATGCTTAGATCTTTTAAACTACGCAACGGATTTTGATGCGGTTTTTTTAAATATATAGAGTGATTCTTAAGGAAAGTTTATACATGCATATTGCACCCGTGCGAAGCCGGGACAGGTCGCTAGTGTCATATAAACCAACTAGCTACTTCCGCGCGGTTTCACACGCTCTGCTCAGCTCTTATTGGTCATAGCGTGATGTTTTATAGCCTATAGCCATCCGCGATAAATGCACTATCCAACACAAAGGAATTATTAAAATCAGACTTGTAGTTACGGAGACTAGCGCGTTTAAACAAACAAACAAACAAACTCTTCCGCTTTATATAATAGTATAAGGTATAAGATAGATATAACTTACAGCTACATGTAGATACTTCTGTCCACTGCCATCGCAGTCACTAATCACACTGGATGGGAAGCCAAGTTCGGTGATACAGTTGGCGATGTCCGCCGCCGATATCTTTGCGGGAGAGTATTTCACTTCTGCTTTAGCTGCTAGAAGAGCTACTAGGATCGAGTGGACACCTGGGGGATGAACGTTATTGTAAGTAAATCGAAAATTAAGTTTTGTAAAGAACACACAGTGCCATCTAGTATAATTTATCGAAAACAACCACAACTACAAATGACTATTATGAAGATTTGTCTTCGAACAAATCATCAATTTACTAGTTAGAGGATCAGAGTTTGGTAGCCACACAGCCTATTCTGAAACTAAGTACTACTAACTCCAATACGATAGCCCAGCGGTCTTCTGGAATTAGCCATCTCGGGGAGGTCTGAAAGACGATAGCCACGCAGTCCCTTTCATCCCTCCACTTGGGTTGCAACTATCTTGATTAGTTTATAGTAAATTAATGTAACAGTGAAGTTGCCAATAAGTAAATAATCACCAAGATCATCGGGGCACTAATTTAATAGCCAGCGACCCTACAGTTTGAAATGAATAGGGTAAATGACTTATTACAATGGTGTAACAGAAACAAATCCTGTCTTATTGCTCCCCTGAACTCCTCAAAGAACATACATGCTTAATTTCAGCTTTTGTTTTTTTTTTCTTCTTTGGCAACTGAGTCTCCAAAACAAGTTTCAGCTTCTTAGGTCTAGTAGTAGCAGTCAGTGAGTGAATGAGTGAGTGATTGAGTGAATGGGGTGAGTCAGTGGGTGGGTGAGTGATTGAGTGGGTGAGTGAGTGAGTAAGGACTCGCTCAGTACTCACTCAGAGTGAGTCAATAAGTCAGTCAGTTAGTTTTATAGATATACTAGTGGACCCGACAGACGTTGTCCTGTAATAATAGGTAAAGATAAATAATCTAGAAACCGACTGCAGCGCCATCTGCCGGGCTGATTTGTGAATCTAAACCATTCCCAGATACCCTTGAACACACACAAAAAATTTCATCAAAATCGGTCCAGTCGTTTGAGAGAAGTTCAGTGACATACACACTCACAGACGATTTATATATATAAAGATGTAGATTTCTATGTACAGAATACATACCATACAACTTCTGAACATGTTTCTCTATAGCTGCGACACAGGAGGCACACGTCATGCCGCGGACTTCTAACGTACAGCGAGACGTTTCACCTTCAGCTACTGGCGGGGACCCCTATGGACAACATACATACAACTTATATTGTATGTTTGTAAACGCACCCACGACACAGGAGAAAATCCTAGTGTGGGGCAACGGTTTAAAAAAAAACTTTATTTAATTCATCATCAACAGCCTATAAGTGGTTACTGCTGGCCTTCTCACACGGAGAAGGTTTCAGCATTAATCACCACGCTTGCTCAATGGCGATATCGAGCTTATAATTAGAAATTATAAGCCCAGGTTTCCTCACGATGTTTTCCTTCACGGTTTGTCAGTGGTGTCTGAATAATCTTAGAAAGTACATATAACTCGGAAAAAGTCACATTGGTACTTGCTGTTGGTAGGTTTCAAACTTGCATTCTCGTGCATCAGAAGTGCCCGTCTTAAACCTCCAGGCTACCACGACTATTTACTTAATAAATTATATTTATACGGTTACATTTAGCTTACCCCGTTTATTTGTTTCGGTCAAAAGTAATTGTAATGTCACCCCCTTCCTGACGACAGATCGATCTGATATTTGGTACACACCCTTAATCTTGATGACCATACAATATAATCTAATTGTTTCCACAACTACCTCCATTATGGATATCAAACGAAAGGGCTTGATTGATAGAAGAGTTAATTAAAATTTTTTAACATTAAAAATATTACTACTCACATTAATTTGTGCTCTACTCTTGACCGGAGAAGGTGGTTTTGCTCCATCACCTGATCCTTCCTCGCTCTTGCTTTGTGAAGTCGTTTCTGTAAACAACCATCGTAACCATTTTAAATTGTTAGATAGAAGGACGAAAATTGTCATAATCCCCACGCTTGGTAGAAGGCTTGGGGATCATAGTGATGCTCTTTAAATCGTTGTAGAAACTAAAAACATTTGATTAGCAAAAAATTTCTATAATCACCACACTTGGCAAACCAGTTTAGGGTACTTAAGCTAAAAAACATTCAGGGTCTCTGAACAGAAATAACTAGAGAAAATAATTAACGTAAGTCATTAAAAGTTCATCATAATCCCCATACTTATCACACAACTTGGGGATTAAAGAAACTTTAGAAAAAGCTAGAAATTAACACAATACTGACCTGTATACTGATCCCCATCAACAGCTAACACAGTAACAGAGAATCCGAGCGCATACACGGTATCGGCGAGTTGTCGTGCCGTAGTCGTGCCGCGGACGTATCGGATCCGTGCCGTGCCCTCTGATAGACGCACTGATACTGATCTAACGCCTGAAAGCTCGCGAAGAGCGCCTGAAACAAGAATAACGTTGTATTGAAATCATATAGTGCGTTTTAAAACATACAAGTTCACATACACATCACAACCAGAGCTGAAACAACAATTTGTGGATCACACAGAGTCTGAAATTGTGCTCGGTATATGGCAATAGGCTCACCCCCTATTACATGGGACTCATAACATAAATAGTGAAAAGTGGGTGTTACATTGTACAGTGGCATAATGTGCCCCTCTGCCTATCCCTTCGGGGATAAAAGGCGTGAGAACTATATTTAAGTGAGACTTAAAATTCAATATTCAGAGGCGCTGCTCATGAGGAAGAAACTCTCTGTGGTTCGAAACTAAAACTAGTAGAGCTTTTCTCAGTATATTCACGAAGTAAACCGCGATTTTTAGTTAAAAAAAGAATTGGTGAAATCGGTCCAGCCATAACTCATGATGCCGTGCCAAGGGAAAAAGGGATTTATTTTTATGTTACAATTTAGTATGTCTCACGATAGTTATTATAAAAATTATTATTTGTTGTATTTGTTATTATTAGGAGAAGATTCTTAAGACATAAAAAATCCTAAAAATCCTACCGGAACGGGAAAAAACGGGATTTCGCGTCCGAAGTCACGGGCAGAAGCCAGTCAATTAAGATTTATAATGAATTCAAAGATGCTTACCCTCAATAGTATTGACACAGGACTGGCAAGTCATGCCGACGACTGACAACAGGACCTCCTGCTCATCCATCTCGCCGGTGCCAGACATGTCGATTAAGAGGTCTGTTGGTATCTCTTTGGGTAACAGGTTTCTGAAATTGAAAGATCCGTGGTGAGAAACCTTGATTTTTGGGCTCCACAGTGAACTAGAGCGCCAAGAACCAATAACTCGGCGTTCTGGATGGCCAGCTCCAGTGAAGCCACCCATCAGAGAACCAAACGCGCTCGATAGTCGATAGTAATGCATTACGAATGCGATGTTATTCGTGCTTGGCATTCTGGTGAGTTTCTGAAGTTTAAAATACGATTTATGTTGAACTGAGCATGCTCGAGGAAACAATCCAAACATGATTTCACATAACGAATTGAACCTTACATGAGTATCAAAACTGAGACTTGCACATCAGTAGTAGCAATTACTAGACTAATGAACTAATTGTCATTTAGCTATATTAACAAATTAAGTTTTAACCCTTATTGAAAAGAGAAGAGTATTGTAAATTTTCATCAACCTATAAGTGACACCTAACAGTAGAAGGGCTAATTCAGGTGCTACGTGACTTTTAGATAAGTGACAGTTCAAAAGCGATTAGTGAAAGTAGTTGTTATTCTTATAAATACTGGTCTACTGAAAAGACCAAGTAGACCAACAAAAAGACCGAGTAGACGGACCTGGTTTCGTGCTCCGTGGTGTCAGTGGGCACCTCGAAGCCCATGTCTTCTATATGAGACCGGATAGCCTCCTCCGAGATGGTTCGCGGCTCATATCTGAAGTAGCCTGCGTTTTCTGACAGTTCCACCTGTAAGTGAAGTTAGAATTTAATAAGTAGGTTGTAAGGTTGATATTAATTTGGAGATTGCGTTTATCACCATCATTTCTAAATTTGATGGGCCGATGTTTGACCGCTATCTCGCCTAGTGGTGCACGATGATGCGGTCTACGATGGAGCATGTCAACCTATAAGTAACCTATTCAATCGGGCCTTGAAGACACCCAGGAAATACAGACTCTAGCAAAGAATTCCACTCCTTGTAGTACGCACAAGGAAGCTTGAAAAATCTATGCAATCTATTTTTATTTCGATCATTTCGGTAACAGTAAGTTCCAATAATATAATTATTGGGATATGTGTAAAAGTTTGCCGTGATAAATTACTGTATCCTGTACTATAGGTACATAATGCAAACAGAGAAATCACATTAATAGACGTTTTAACTTTTAATTTTATTATAATTCCCATTCACTACAAGGTTTATTTACTAAGACTAGTGAAATGAAGTCATCGTTATTTGAGGGGGAATATCATCCAATGACTTCTCCCGTCCGTGTGAGGCGGGAGTGTCAGACTCTTACTGACTAAAAACCACCCCGTTCTTACTCCTCCACTTAGAGCCGGAGCCCCGGCAACCCGTGTTTTATTTAAGGGGGGAAAATCATCGAATGGCTGCTCCCGCCTGGGTGAGGCGGGAAGGAGTGTCAGACTCTTACTGACTATATACTACCCCGTTCCTACTCCTGCCCTTTGAGCTCGGGTCTGGTTCTGATCGGGCGGCGATCCACGCATGCTCGCCGTCCGCAGGCCCGCGCTTACGGTAGCCGGAGATTGTCCGGCAACCCGTTAAGTCCTGATTAACGCTGGTACATACAAATTTTAAACTACAAAACACCAGTTTAATCACTGGTCTACATTTGTATGACTTTTATACTCATTCGACGGTCAGCTTAGATTGGTTTAGCATAGCTCAAAGTTTGTCTGTATAAGAAAACCAGTTTTTACCTCTTTAAACGCCAGAAATCATTTATAATTTTTTAGCAGTTCTTATTCCACTTCTTACCTTAACATAAGCGATGCCAGGAAGCTCTCTGAAAGATCCCTCGATGCTGCGGACGCAGGACATGCAGGTCATGCCATTTATAGGCACCCGGACCGCCACCAGCTCCGCGCTCGACTCTCTGTGGACAAGGAGATGGCAGGAGTTAAAGAAAGTGGTATAAACTAAGTTGGTTGGTAGTAAAAACTAAGGTCGGTAGAAGAAAGAAAGAAAGCGAGAAAGAAAAATAGTTAATTTACACACCGAATACAATAACACGAAAAAAATATTAAAAAACAGTGAAGACGGCGCAAAAAGACCAAAACTCAGTTTAAATGCCGTGCGCAGTAGCTCGAGTCACGGCGCTGATATTCAACACGGCAAATACTTAATTTCAGCGCATGCTACGGCATATAACTATATATACCAAAACGGAGATCTCTTCTCAAGTACAATTAAAACAGATACGTGCATCCCTTTCTGAGTATGCTTAAGCTAAAATAAAGTTCCATAATACTAGCCAAAATATGAATTACATTGATGAAGAAGATCGAGTATTGTTTTATTGCAAAAATATTATGCTTTATAAGGTTTATCAATATTTATTTGCGCATAGATAACACAAGAGCGAAAGACAGCTTGTTATCACGTAGGCATATTGAATTTCCATAGGAGAGACCGAGCGACTGATTAGGGGAGACAGTAGTCAGCTGTATGGGCGGGAGTAGGCGTTAGCGGTGTGATCACGTGCGCCACTCGAGGAAGGAAATCTCAGTTTTTGAGGGCTACTACGTGATGGGACCTGCCGCATTATAGTGGTAGGGCGAGGCCTGCCGTGTGCGGTGAATCCGCAATGGCGTTCCGGGTCACGGCCACAGGCAGGGGAGGAACACCGCGGTAGTTTTAGCCGATAAGAGTCCGGCACACCCCCCCGTCCCACGACGTGGGAGGTCCAAGAGGATTTCCATCGCGTTATATAAAGGCATATTGAATTGAGTTCTGAGTGCGGTTTACCCACATAACTGTTCAACAAGGTCATACGTCTAGTTTCCAACCATGCAAGGGTCCATAGCAAGACACAGCAAGCTCAACAACCGACCAGTAACCAATTATTTAAAATGATTTTAGGGTCCTCGCGTGGCTTGAAACTAATCGAGTAATATCATCTAACACTTACATACCTAAACCATAACACTTAACAAAAGTATTACTTAAAAATTATATAACATCGTGTCTTTTAACCCCGAAGGGGTAGACAGAGGTGCAAATTACAGCACTTAATACCACTGTACAATGTAACACTCACTTTTCACTATTTATGTTACGAGTCCCATGTAATAGGGCGTGAGCCTATTACCAAATACCGGACACATTTCCAGACTCCGTGATACTACTGAGAATTTAAAAAATATGCTTGAAATTACGATAATGACATAGGTAGTAACAATACTAAAACATAAGCTAACGCCTAATTAGTAACAGCACGTTTTTGAATTATCAGAAACATAAATGTTTTGCCATACCTGTAATGAGTATTGACCATGTAACAATGTTCCGTTTAAACAAGTAACTATTAAACGATTGGCTATGGTACTCCTAATGGTTTGTCGTCAAGATAAGGTTGAAGAACACACCTTTAAAATAATACGTTTCCAAAGCAAAAGGCCAAGATGGCCTCCTAAATTAAACAGATCAGCCTAAGAAATAGAAATTCCACTTCAGGACTACAGGTCTCCTCAAATATAAAAAAAAACATTATTTATTAAATGTTCTTTTTTTTAAGGGGGAAAATCATCGAATGACTGCTCCCGCCTGGGTGGGGTGGGAGGGAGTGTCAGACTCTGACTGACTAAAACCACCCCGTTCCTTCTCCTGCGCGTCGAGCCGGAGCCCCGGTTACCCGTTAGGTTCTCCGCGACTCCGAATAGGCCCTGTTGGGCCCCATCTGTGGTGGTCTGATGGCTCTGTGAGGCGCGCGCGGAAAGCGGCGCGCCATATGCTCGGGTTTGTTAAATCTTTAGGTTGTGTTTTATCTACATACGAGGGTTTGCCATTATCTCCACCTGTAGTAGGGGGATTAGAGATAGCAGTATAAAAGGTTCAGGTTTATCAGAGAGCGCTGCTGCCTGGTCTCTGTCAAATGTGTAGTCCCTTAGTCGGGTATACGACACCCGCGGGAAGAGTAGGGGTGGTGACAAGTATATTCTACTCTGCTATCACCAAAGGATTCGGCACAGTAGTTATCATCTAAATTTTCATGGACCTTACTACAATCCCCAACCTACCAAGAATGCAGGACACAATCCTGCATTAATTCACCGAGGGAAGTGAATACTACCGTTTTTTTCTTCTCCTTCTATTAATATCTTCTGATTTATTTCGTTGCGGAATTCGAGACAGTGTCACGCCGGACTTCAGTGTTCCAATGTTTTCATGGTTGTACCCACTGTAGACCCTGGCTTACAGGAGTTGCAGCTATTTTGGGAGGTTGTGGCGGGCTTGACCCAAGAAAAAAAAACTATCAAGAATGGGGATATGACAAAGCATATAGTTCTATTAATCCTTAATGCATTTTTGAATGGTCAAATTGAATTGTCAGTGCTAGGTGCTCGTTCTAAGTTAACTTAACTTTACTTAGACTTTCTTAAGAGATGATGTTCCACGATTTATGATGACAACTCTTAACAGTAGATCGTAGACTAACATAGCATTCGTTTATCACGAATCACGTGTTAATGTTAACAACTGATAACACAAGATGTTAAAGATAATACAATCAGATTATTGGCTTATCACATTGTTTCGCAAATGCTTTTATTTTCAGGACAATCATTAAATAACTTCTCCCGACTTGAGTGAGATGAGATAGAGTGTCAGACTCTTACTGACTAAGCACCATCCCATTCCTACGTTTGCTTCGAGTCACGCCAATCCTTGAGGTTACGATCTCCGGCCACCGTAAACGCGGGCCTGCGGACGGCGAGAATGAGTGGCTCACCGCCCGACCAGAACCAGACCCGAGCCTAGGACGCGTCGCGTTCCGCGCGCGCCTCAAAGAGCCATCAGACCACCACAGATGGGGCCCAATAGGGCTGATGCCGATAGAAGCCGCGGAGAACCTAACGGGTTACCGGGGCTCCGGCTCGTCGTGCAGGAGTAGGAACGGGGTAGTTTTTAGTCAGCAAGCGTCTGACACTCCCTCCCGCCTCGCCCAGGCGGGAGAAGACATTGAGGTTTTTCGCAGCGCCAGCCGAGATTCAGCTCTAATAGAACCAGTTCATGAGTGTTAAATGGCTCACACAGAGTAGAGGTATAAAAATGATCGAGCCATGGCATAATATTTGGGAAACGCTTATCATAATCCTTGGTCATGTTTATTTACACTGATGCAATGTGTGTTGTGTTTAGTAACTTTTTACATAGATAACTGTAACCGCTTTACCATATTCAGTTACGTAGGGCCGCAGTATGCAGAGGTCTTAGTACGAGTATGAGTTTGTTTTACGTTTTTATAATAACTATCGTGAGACATACTAAATTAAGTAAAATCGCGGGTTACTCACTTTTAGCTCCGTGATGTCGGAATACTGAATCGCTACTCAATTTTAAGTCCTGCTTAAGTAAAGTTCTATATCTACAAATTCTTTGTAAAAAAATGACGGAGATGGCACGATATTTGAGCACGACTTAAAATTAAGTAACGTTTCAGTATTCCGGCATGAGCTGCGCGACGTGGCCGCGATCGCGCACGCTGCTCACGAGGAAGAACCCCTCTGTGGTTTGATACTAGTAGAGCTGATCTCAGTATATTCACGTGAGTAACTCGCGATTTTACTTAATTTAGTTTGTTTTACGTTTAAAGTAAAACAACCTCATACTAAGACCTCTGGTAGCTTCCAACGTCGCGATGTGTAGTCATTGGGGGAGGACTGTGGGGGGGCAGTGGATAGTACGTGGGTGTACGAATGATGGTTTAATCCCATAATTTTGTTCCATGTTAATAGTAGCCGCATTTTTGTGGAATAGGCGATTCTTGATCACCTGACTGTAAGTGATCAGTGTCGCCTATGCACATCCTAATATGAAAAGTTGTGTAACAGGCATATATATTTTTTTTTTTTTAAAAACGTGCCTCACACTAGGATTTTCTCCTGTGTCGTGGGTGCGTTTACAAACATACAAGTTCACATACACAAAGACACCCAGACCCGAAACAACAATTTGTGGATCACACAAAGTGTTGTCCCGTGCGGGAATCGAACCCGCGACACGTTGCACGGCAGCCGGTTGCCCAGCCACCGCACCAACCGTGCAGTCCAATTTATTATTTATCGCTCACTATATATATACTTGTGACTAGTAATATTAGGTACTAGCGACCCGCCCCGGCTTCGCACGGGTGCAATATGCATGTTTTATACATATAAACCTTCCTTAAGAATCACTCTATTTATAAAAAAAAACCGCATCAAAATCTGTGCGTAGTTTACAGATCTAAGCATACATAGGGACAGACAGACGGCGGATAGCGAGTTTGGTTTATGTATAATGGATTGTTTTAATTTCCGAACGTGGCAACACTATCTCAGTCGGGCATTCGCGCGGTTTTTGTTTTTGACAAATTGTTGTAAAACACGTGAATACAAATTATTTTTGAATAAGTCTGAGTTTTAATTAAGATACTCATCCTTCTGAGCGTTTTCAGTTGGACCACCGGTAATGGATAATTTTCGAATCATCTAAAAAAGCACGAGATCCGGGAATTTATAAAATACCCAATTCCACAGTGGCCGCCACTCCCAAGTTCCAAGACAGTCAATCACAATTAAAAATGCATCATAAAAACTAGTTTTCTACCTACATTATTGCAGTAGTTATACCTATATTTTTATCAACGCAACCAGCTTGCACCGGTATCTCTATAAATGGCAATAAAACAAAATAAACTTGGAACAGGTTTACTAAGTAAAAGTAAAATGGCATTAACCTACTGAGACTTGAAGACTAATTCGAAACTATAAAGACAGGATATTAAAGTTTTATTTAAAGTGTATTTTTTCGCAAGATGACAATAGTCACAAGGAGAACCTAATGGGTTACCGGGGCTCCGGCTCGACGTGCAGGAGAACGGAGTGGTTTTTA